TTAGTTACTGTTGTAATGATTTAGTTACTGTTGTAATGATTTAGTTAGTTATTAGTAATGATGGTCAGCATCGTGACTGACCCAAAGTAGTGATTTGAAACTTCAGTGTGATTTTAATTTACATAAGACTTTAAATTGGTTGCTGCAACATTAATATGCTTAAATATGTGCACACACGCTCCCCAATGAAAGTATTGAGGCTAATTTACTTACTTTTGCTGTACACCTGACAACATGTGGGTTTGATATCAAAAGGCGAGTATGTGACGAGCGTGCAACATTTTAGTTTTTGTCTCCCAGTGCTTATAACTAGATCAACATACAACTTGGAAGATAATGGAACAACAAATTTAGCGAGATCAATGTACTGGAACATGTGACTGACGGGTGTTAACTGTTGCCCAGGTGTCTCCTCTTACGCTGATGATGCAAACATTAAATTGTGCTAAATGTCTCCTCAGTTTCAGATTTGAGTTTTGCCTGTGCAGACTGCATTTAATAGTTTATTGAAGTGGAACCATCATGAAAACTTGAGCTGTTTGTAGGAGGAAAAACGATGAACATCAAGCAGAGGCACTGACCAATCATTGTCAATAACCAATCCAACCATTTGTAATGACCTGAAGAAGACGGAAGCCACTGGTGTACTCATTTAAAGACATCCAACAGAAAGACCAAGGGAAACATAACGCAAACATTGTGAGAGCTTTGAAGAAAAACCTTTCAACAACTGTTGGGGACATCAGCAACAATCTCCAGAGGGCAGGAGTGAAGACATCACATCTACTGTTCACAGGAGACTTAATTAACATAAGCACAGAGGCTTCACCCTTCACCGGAAGATAAAACCATTTATTAGCAAGATGAACAGGAAGGTTAGACCAGGATATGTCAAACAACGAAAGCCTAAAAAATTCAGGGACAAAGTTTTATGGACCAGTGAGACAAAGTCAAGGTGTCTTAGTCATTCAAATCACATGTGGTGCATGAGACTGAACGGAAATATGTACGAAGGGTTCCAGTTACACCCAACAAAAATACAAATTGTAAAGAAAAACTGTAGGGAGATCTAAAACTGAACCGATCTTCAAATGTGAACCTTTACAAAGTGATGGAAAGATTCAAGAACATTCTACAGTCTAGAGAAACGTTTAGTCTGCAAATGTAAAGTAAGATGCAACCGAACTGATTGGGAGATTAAGCGCTCAACCTACAGCGCTACAGTTCACCTGCTAAAAGGGGATGTAAGGGACTAACTCCCCAAATCAAACAGCAAGACTGCACTGAAAACCTGGAAAAGCATCGCTAAATACTAATGTTTGGTGATGTCATTTGGTCACAGGATTAATGTGGTTAAGAGCAAAGGATCTACAAATTAATAATACTACATATTAAGTTATTTAAACCTATTTTAATTAACCTGTCCCAGTACTTGTGCTCAACTATAAATTTGGTGTTTTATGCAAATAAATGTTATGTTTTAAGTAGTGTACTGTAAATACCTTGAAATAAAAGCTAAAATGTTGCCCTCTTGTCTCTTTTGATGTCATATGCAAGAGCTTTCTGTCTACTGCAAAAAAGGTAAAGAATTGGTCTCATTGTCCCAATCCTTTCAGAGATTTTGTTTCAGAGAGAACCCCTGATGCATCCTCAACAGTTCTGAAATGCATCAGAAGCTAGTTCATTATCATTCACTCCAATAATACACAGGAGCTGAAATTAAGTACATCACAAACAGATCCAACAATACTCTGTTATGAACACAATACAAAATCACAAATATTGTGAAATTCTTGTGCAATATTTAGCATCAGTATTCCCTGATGCATGCTCAATAATCCAGGTAGCAAAATCTAACAAAGTTAAGTCAGGTCCTCTGGATGGATTAAAAAAATAAAATAAAATAAAATAAAATAAAAACAACTTGTTGAAACGTTTCGTTTTTTGTCTTTTTGACTTCTTCAGTCTGAGGTGCTGCAACATACTCAGTCTTGTAAATAGTACTTTCTCACAGTGGATCAACCAGTTTGCTGATGACATCTAGAACTAGCTGTTCACATGATAAAGGAGGACCATCAACGGCTGGTCGTTAGTGTCCTGATGGCTGTTTACTATTCACAGAGGGCTGAGTGATACTACCAATAACAGCATTGTAAGAGGGGGACAGTTGAACACGGAGATTCCGCCCCTGTTAAATGACGGACGGTTTCTCTTCACAATGATGGCTTCCTTCACTCCTCTCTCAAACCAGCATTCCTCTCTATCAAAGATGTTAGAAATTTACTCTTGCTGGAGGACCGGTCTGATCTACTCTGACTCAAAACCTGGTTTGGAACAGATCATACTGTCTCAGCTGCTCACAATGAGTGATCCCAGGGTCAACATCCGATAAGGAGTCATTTTTGTTTGCTTGCTTCCAACACTTGGATAGATTTGCACAACACCCCATTATCCACCATCAGAAATGGATAAGACCAATGAGGTCACACATAGTCACCTCACTGATACACTCTAAGGTCGTTTTCACACCAGATAGTCCGGTAGACTCAGTTCGGTTCGGGACCAATATTCATGACCTTTTGTTTACATTTGAGCTGGTGCGTTTGCATTCACACTGCACTGTGCAGTCGAGTCAACCTGTTGAACCAACCTGTTCCCTCGCTCGCCTGTGGGGGTGCTGCACCAAGAACTACTGAAAGAAACAACACAAAAACCTCTGAAGACACGTCTTCTTCTTCTTCTGGAAATAAAAACGAAAGAAACGACACAAAACCTCTGAATACACGTCTTCTTCTTCTGGAAATAAAACTAAAAACGAAATGGCAAAGTTTTAGCAGTTTTAGGAGTTATATTTTGTCATTTTTCAAAAATGGACTTAGCAGGAGCAGAAGATGAGACAGAAGATCATGGAGAATATTGTTTTTCCACAAAAGGCAGCTGACGGCTCCATATAAGGTCAGAGAAATGTGTGTTTGTTTGTCCTGCGGAGCGGGGCTCGGTCTGTTTATTCACATTGCACTTGAACCGCACTGGAGTTCTCTTCTACCGGACCGAGACCTAGGTTTTAGCCTGGGCCAGAGTTCGCCTTTTTGTTCCGTGACAGAGTTTGATGGCGTGTTCACACCTCCCTAAACGAACCGGACTTTCTAGGAAAATGAGCTAGAGTTCGATTAAAGCGGACTAAACAGGGCTGGTGTGAATGCACCCTAATGGGCTGTGCCCACCCTGGATGTGAAGCGGAGCCAAGGGACAACATAAGCTGGGGCATTTTGTTGCACATGGCCTCGGCTCCGGGTTACGCCGGGTTGGAAGGACGCCACAGCGCTGAGCTTGTAACGTTGCCTGCCTCGTCAATATTATTCAACACTTGCTCTTCTCAAGGGCGGATGTCTCCTCCTCTCCCTCTCCTTCTTGCTTTTGCTCTGTCCTCTCCTTCTTGCTTTTGCTCTGTCCTGTCTGTGAAACTGCTTTAGAGCCTCTCTTCTACAAATCTTCTGAATCATGACTACGGACTTGGATTTGGTCAGTTAGTCCCTCAACACAGTTGATAACATTTCTTTGAAGAGAAGACCGGCTTTAGGCGAGACGATTTGCCCTGTTGGCACGCACACAGCTGGATATCTCATCGACTTAGCAGAGAGAGACACATCATCAAGTCTTCAGTCATCTGTGGATTTTAAGGACACATTTATAATTGGATTTATGATAACTGGTTCCTGTTTTTTGGATTCGATTGGTTCCTGCTTTTTGGATTCGATCGGTTCCTGGTTTATCGACAAACAAGGAAGTCGTCAGCAGCAATTCTGAACCTGGTCAGGCTGCCTGCCTTATATGATGGCTTAGTTCGTGCCTCGAGCACCCAGACTCTTGGCAGAATGGATCAGATCTTGGGGATTATTCTCAGGCACGTTTCATTGGTATGGTCATTTAATTTGGGCGTTTCAAAAGAGAGTGGACCGACACAAACTTAAAGTAGATGTCATTAAAGTTCTGCCTGTCCCCAAAACAATCGTGTTTATCTGAATTCGGCTTCCTGACTGGCCTTGAGAGGCCATTTTATCTCAACCTGCCTGGAGAGTTTTGTAAACCTGATGCTCAGCCCCTCCCTCCATGGACTTTTAAGAGGAGCACAGCTAAATAGACATTCTGTCATAATTTCAGGACTCTGGATTCGTCTCTGGTCGTCCTCGGCAACCCCCGAGTGTGCACGGATGTCTCCAGAAGGAACTATTTGAACTGAGTGATTTTATCTGAACTCTGCAGTGCCGCTGTGTGTTGTTTCTGGCTGCTCACTGCCATTGCGCCACCCCACCACCCTGCGCGTAATGTCAGCATCATTATGTACTCATGTGTGAGATTCATTTTCATTATCACACTGCTGACCTTCAAACAGAGGTTAATGAGTCTTTGAGGCACAGTGTGACATCTGTTTAAATAAAGGTTTAATGAATGAAAAAAAATGGTAACGAGAATTTACTTTTCTTGATTTTATTGAGTTTGTGTGAGTTTCCTCTCCACCTGGGAACAAAAGAACCGGAAGGGTGCCGTGGTCGGATGGCTGATGTGAACATCTTCATCCCTGAAAGAGTGACTGCTGGCCTGGAAATTAGTGTAAACCACAGAGTCTTGGTCTGATGATGATGCTCTTCTGTGCTGGTCCATCCTTTTGGCTGTTTAGTTTCCCCATTGTAAGACTGATCACAGCCCTCCTGACACTGAACAGCATACCATACCAGCTTTATTTATAGAGCAATTTAAACACCCACAGGACCTTAGTGCTGATTGACCAAATTGTTAAGCTGATGGTCCTCCTTGATCATGTGAACAGCTAGTTCTGGGTGTCAACATCAAACTGGTTGATACACTATGAAATGGTGCTATTTCTTTATATTTTGATTTATTTATGCTATTCTGTTTTGAATGGTGTGGCCCCGATTAAAACCAGGTGATCAAAGCCAAGATCGGACCCATGGTTGAGTGACCATACCCGTGCCATTAGACTGGGATGCAGGAGAAATGAACGCAAGTGGAGAAATGAACGCAAGTGGAGAAAGGACAAACTCCAAGTCTCTTTTGATATACTGAGAGAGAGTTGGCGTCGATATCAACGAGCTGTGAAAACAGCCAGAGTAAAATATTTCTCTGACATTATTGCTGTTAACTCTCACAACCACCATGTTCTTTATAATACAATCAACCCTGTCCTCAATGCACATGAACTGGTCCCTCTTGAAGCATCCGGAGAACTTTGTGATAAGTTTTTTCATTTTTTCTTGGAGAAGGTTATTAACACTAGGGCTTGTATCTCTTTTCCATCCCATGACCCTTCCATCCCGGTCCCCTGTCCTGCTGTTTTTGACCATTTGGAGCCTATTTCCCTCTCCTATCTAGAGAAACTGGTCATCAGTATGAAATCATCGGGACCCCCCCTTGATGTTGTTCCTCCATGTTTTCTTAAGGAGGTATTTTCTACTGTTGGCTCCTTTTATTCTAAATGTGATCAACAGCAGTTTGATGTCTAGTGTGGTACCAAGCAATTTTAGACATGCTGTGGTGCAGCCATTGTTGAAAAAACCTTGCCTTGATCCATCATCTTTGTCAAACTTTAGGCCAATCTCCAAGTTACCCTTTATATCCAAAAAATTTGGAATAAGTTGTTTACACGCAGCTGAAGGCCTTTTTGGATGAATTTAAAATTTTGGAGGTCTTCCAGTCTGGTTTTAAAATGTACCACAGCACTGAATCTGCTCTTTTAAGGGTTTTTAATGACATATTTTTAGCAACAGATTTTGGAAACTGTGTTTTACTTGTGCTTTTAGATTTAACAGCTGCTTTCGACACAGTCGACCATGACCTTCTCATCTCCAGACTGGAGCAGTGGGTGGGCATCACTGGCTCAGCTCTTCAGTGGTTTATGTCCTACCTTTCTGATAGAAGTGTGATGATGGATAATTTTACCTCTGCTTCAACTGCCCTCCCCTGGGGGGTACCCCAGGGCTCTATTCTTGGTCCTCTCCTGTTTTCACTTTATCTTCTGCCACTGGGTTTTATTTTCAGAAATCATGGTGTACAGTTTCATTTATATGCGGATGACTGTCAAGTCTACTTCCCTATGAAACACAATGGCTCCACTCAGTCTCTCCTGGACTGTCTTGATGACATTAGAGGATGGATGGCACTTAATTTCCTCCATTTTCATGAAAAAAAGACTGAGGTTATGGTCTTTAAATCCTGTGGTTCTAGCAGTTTTCCCACCTTTGATTTTTCCTCTTTGGTCCCATATGAAAAATTCATTGTTACAAATTTAGGAGTAAAAATGGACCCCTGCCTGAAATTTGACTGCCATGTCAACAACGTGGTAAAGTCCTCTTTCTTTCAGCTGAGGCGCCTGTCAAAAATCAAGCCCCTCCTTTCTAGACACCACTTAGAGACAGTAATCTACACTTTTATTACTTCACGCCTGGATTATTGTAACTCTCTGTTGATAGGAGTTAGCCAGGCCTTGCTCTCACGCTTACAGCTGGTACAAAATGCTGCTGCATGATTTTTGACTGGTACAGGCGTGAGCACATCACTCCAGTTCTGATGTCCCTTCACTGGCTTCCTGTCCAGTTTTAAATACATTTTAAAGTTCTATTGTTTGTTTTTAAGTCTTTGAACTGTCTTAGTCCCTCTGATTTGTCTGAACTGCTTCACTTTAACATACCATCATGAGCTCTTAGATCCTCTGACCAGAGTCCTGAAAACAATTTATAAATCCAGAGGAGACAGAGTCTTTTCAGCTCTGGCTCCTAAACTGTGGAATGAGCTGCAGCTGGAGGTCAGACAGGCCCCGTCACGTTCTGATTTTAAAACTCGTTTAAAAACACTTTTTTTTTCATTGGCTTTTAACCTAGAGTGAGTCAGCATCTCTGTCTTAATGTTGTATTCTTTTACGTATGATGTTCTGATTATTGTGTGCGTGTGTATATGTGTATATGTGTGTGTATGTATGTATGTATATGTGTATGTATATATATATATATATATATATATATATATATATATATATATATATGTATATGTGTATGTATATATATATATGTATATGTGTATGTATATATATATATATATATATATATATATAT